CATCCACATATATGCGCTCAATCTCAACTATTGAATGCAAATGCATCCCTGGGTCCACATCCACCCATCCACTCACATGCACTGCATCTCCACTGCTGGATGGACAATTTTGCAGCTGTGATAACCCATATGGTCACAAGGGCATGTGGTCACGACGCAGTGCATTCAATGGTTGAGGTTGAGTGCATGTGTGCGGATGGATGGCTGAGATAACCCATGTGGTCGCATGGGCATGTGTTGCCTTTCTGCTCGATAGAGGGGATTCACAGAATCACAGCGCCAGTTGAAGGTAACAAGGGGACCTTTTGGTGGTATTTTTCAAAAAAAATAGCGTTCTTTGAATGGCTATAGTAGTAAATTTCCAATGAAAAAATACGGTTTGTTCTCATTTGGTTTAACCGTTTCAGTTGTATGACATTAAATGTGAAAGGCGTCATCTAGCAGGATGACAAACAGCTAAGGCCTCTTTTGGTTCTGCTCCTGATGGCGCCAGCTCCATCTGCGCGTCCTGTAGCATCCTGTGCTGCACTGTGCGTTCTTATAGCGGCTGCGGCAGGGACCAGAGAGGAGCCGTAAGAGCAGTGTTGGGTGGCTCTGGCAGCTCCGCCACAGGAGCACAACAGTGCGAGAGCCGCACGGAGCCACACCAAACGTCCCCTAAATATCCCGCTCGAGTGCCAAGGTTTGCCTTTGAGGCAAGCGGGCGGGTCACTCGGAGCAAGAGCAACAGCGGCAATGGTAACTCCCGGAGCAACTTCCATGCTAAATTCAAGAGCTATCAAACACTTTTTTATTGAGAAATAATTCAAGGTGTATTTGGTTGCCTTGCTATCAAGCCTGCCTAGTTTTGAAAACCAGGGCAGACAAAGCCTGGCTAGGGCTATGCAACGCAGTTGTTTGGTTGCATGGATTGTCTAAGCCTGCATTAGAACACACACGCAGGGGCCCGGCGGAGCCGCGGGCCATGGAGAGAGGAGGCTGCGGCAACGCGCACGCGGGGGCCTGGGGAAGCTCACGCACGGATCAGCGGCGCTCGCGTGGTGGCCTGCATAGCTCGCACGGAGGAAGGCAGCTGGCGGTGCTCACGCGTGGAGGAAGCCGGCTGATGGTGCTCGTGGAGGAGCGGTGGACGAGGAGGTGAGCGGACGAGCGTGCGGGTGCTAGTCAAGCCTAGCTCCGCAAAAACGACCGCCCATAGCGTTTAGGCTATCTCCAACCGAGCGGACCCAAATTTCACCGTTTGGGTCACGGCACACTAAATAGGTGAGCTACTCAAATTCTTCCGTTTACAACCACGAACGCAAAATATCTTCGGTCCTCTCCCACGCGGCCGCAGTGCGAGGCATGGCGACAGCGGACGACGTGGCGACGACGGCACACGCTTTGGCTGGCCGGCGCGCCCGCCTGATCCGGCCCCCTCCCTCTCCTTCTTCTTCCCGAGCGAGGCGGAGCTTCGCGCCCGTCCGGCCCCCTCCTCTCCTTCTCCTTCTTGGCGCCCATGCTCTACGGAGCTCAGCTCACGCCCAGCGTCCGTGCTGTTGCCCCATGGCCCGGCCGAGCTTGCGCCCGATCCGGCCCCTCCCTCTCTCTTCTTCTTCCCTCACGTCCATGGGGCTTCGCCCCATGGCCGGGCGAGCTCACGCCTGGTTCAGACCCCTCCTCTCCTTCTTCCCAGCGTCCGTGAGCTTCGCCCCATGGCCCCGCCAAGCTCAAGCTCGGATCCGCCCCCCTCCTCTTCTTCTTCCTCGAGCCCGTGGAGCTCACCCCATGATCTGGCCGAGCTCGCGCCGGATCCGCCCCCTCCTCTCCTTCTTCCCGAGGCTCTGGAGCTCGCCCCATGACCCGGCCGAGCTCAGCGCCCCGGATCCGCCCCCTCCTCTCCTCCTCCCTCCCGTGGCTCAGCGCCCGTCCCCCCCCCTCCCTCTCCTTCTCTTTCTTGGCGCCCTTGTGGCTTCAGGAGCTTCATACCACGCCAGCCCCGACAGCTCCTACGGGCCCACCATTTGCGTCGTCTCTCTTCGAAACGCAGATTTGCCTTCCGAATCGCAGACGACCCAGAATGGGTATATGGTTTCGGTCCTCCGTTGGAGGATGGTTTTGGGACCTAAAAACACTGTGTGGGACTTAAAAACGCATTTTTGCGTTTAGGTCACACCGTTGGAGACTGTCTAAGCCTAGCTAAGAGGGTGTCAGTGCACTACCAGAGCATGGCAACGGGTCTTAACCAAGCTACCAAACACTTCGAAGTTGCATTGCCGGAGTAAGCCTAGCTCCACAAAAACGGCCACCCACTGCATTTTCGCTAAGCCTAGCTAAGAGGGTGTCAGTGCACTACCAGAGCATGGCTACGGGCCTTAACCAAGCTGCCAAACACTTCGAAGTTGCATTGCGGGAGTATGGATAGAGATAGGGCAGACAACCAAACACTCCCTCAGTGAAGTGATTCTCTAAAATAAATCAGAGCACTATGGGCTGAAGAAATATAGCTTGTTCTAATTCACTCCATACATAGAATCACTCTACGCATAGTTTATCCTAAAAAAATCATAGAATATATAGAGCAGGAGCTCTGCCTAGCATATGTTGGAGTCGACGTTGCAGGTGCTCAAAAAAAGGGGAATAATAGTTGCAAACTTTGAAATGCCATGTCGTGTTTTGACAAACGCATGTCTAGTGCATTGTCAGCATCATATCTCAGTGCAAATTCCACGCAACTGTTACACCCAGGATTAAGTCTTACAGGGCGCACATGAGAGGCATAGTAGCACAAGTTTTTGCCACATAAATATCATCTAACCGGAGTGTCCACAAAAAAAATGCATCCTGTCAGATACTGGAGGGACGTGCGAGGAATAAACGCTCTTCCTCCCCCAAGTCACCTGCACAAACAAAAATGGACCAAGGCACCATACAAAATTAAACACAAGAAAATAAGGCACGATATTAGGAATACCAAACCCTATCAAGCAACTAGCTAATTTTTAAGAAACAACAACGAATAATCTTGCTGATTAAAGACAACTGTGATCGTTTCCTTCCTCCCATTTATTTTTGTGGACATGTTTAGAAAACTTGGTGCAAGGAGCCAAAAATTGTGATGTACCTTTCTACTCATGCATACTTTAGCATCTTCAAGAGCCTGAATGCACTAATAGCAGCAGTGCTAAAAGCCCTTCTGGGTTGATTGCTTGTAAGTGGTGAGATTCTTCCCACCGGACCAAGTTTATGATTTGGAGTTGGAGTAGATCCATTGGCCAATGACTTGCTCCGAGAGACACGGAGATGTTCAAGATCAAGCACAGGCCTAGCATATCCTTTTGCATAGGCTGGATACACCCTCACACGACACCGGGTTCGTAACACTAATCTCCAATATGGGAAAAAACTTCTCATCATATATGTGGGATCCCATCCTCTGCCTACTTCCTTTGTCGCTGTCACAGCCTGTCACATATTTCAATAAAGGTACAGCTTCAGAAAACCAGAAACAGCATATTAGCCAGCACCTCACGCTTGAGATGTATGTCAACACCCAATAACGATATTCCTTTAGATATGTTACTACAGTGCAGTACTTAAGTAGCATGCTTAAGCAACATCATAAGCTGTTGAACCAGCACAAAGTACGGCAAAAGCATAGAAGTGAAACATAATATTGTTATTGCCTCTAAACATGATATTATACTGCTGCTTCTTATCAGAATCTCTCACAAGCACCAAACAAACCTCAGATGCAACAAATCATTCAAGAATACTAAGGCCGTCGAAATAACAATAACATGCAAGCCCCATATTTCGAGTTTCAGTGTTGATATCTCTCAGTCCAGCTACGTTACTAAGCTAATTATGGCCAAGGCCAATAGAGTTTTGGCCAAGCGCTAGTTTAATTTCACAACTTGTATCATTTCCTATCATTTTTTTGTAGTAGCTGCAGTTACCCATTTTCCTTGGTAAATGACCTGATGGGAAACACACTGGTCTCCACATTAGCATGAAAGAGTTCAATCATAATTGAGCTGCTGTGGCATTGCAGTAGGCCATCTGTATTTGGTGCAATTAAAAAAACAGATTTCTCAACTTGGGAATTTTTAAATTCATTAGACCATTTTAAAAACTTTCAAAAAAAATCAAACAGGGAAAGGGCGGAATTCTTATAGTTATTGTTCTTCTGCTGCCACAATATTAGCGAACACCCTCACTCTAACCCGAAACAAGACCAAGCACTGTTATCGCAAGATTATGCATCCACCACAGAGGAAAGAAAAATAGATGTTATCATAATGTAACTAAAGCAAAGACATTTTATTTATAACTTAGCAATTACTTTCAGATTTGTTCACAGGGCAATAAGTTCTAGAACAATACCTTGGCATAAAATTGTTTGCATGAACATGTAAATGTACAAAACACAAAAATATGTAGAGACCATTCGAAGACTAGAGATAGGAAGTTGAGAACAACTTTGCCTTTCTAACAAAGAGATATTGGTGTGCCTTATATGCACCAGCCCATAACAATGGACAACTAGCAAGCAAATACAAGTACATAACTTGATAACAAACTAATCATGCAAGTGGCTTATCTGACTACTGCCCTGCTTGGCTGCATCAGTACCACACAATACTATTTGTGTGAACATCTTATGTACTTAGATATCACAATAGGACAAATTGCACGACAAGAAGCGGACAATGATGCTCCAATACAGTAATACTTGATTATTTTTACCTTTTCCTCTGCAGCGTGCACCGTGCAGATTATCTGATTCCATAACTGCCATGTTTGGATTTATAAGCCCTGTTCTCCATGAAAAAAGAAAGTAGAGGTTAGGGCTCATTTTTGTTAAATGTAAAAAGAATAACTTGAGCCTGCACACCTTTGCTACACGTCTCTGTGTCTGACATTTTGCAGTCATAAGGCCGGCTTCAAGAAAAAAATAAAATAAATCAGCAGATTAAACATGTGTTCGCATAGAATTTTTGTGTGAAACAATATAAAGACTAGTACAGGTTTATAGTGTCCATGATTTCTCCAGTAGGATTAAACCCATATTCCTTGAGGATAGATGAAACATGTTCCAAGACCTCCACACGGGGCACCTGCATGACATACAAGCTGATGTATAAGGTAGAATAAAAATAAACACAAAAGACAATATATCATCAACATAGGTCTACTGTATCTCATATAACCAAGGGACAATTGTCTGTTGGACATCAAAAGTGATGGTCCTTCGCTGGCGGACACCCACTTTGGAGTATTTTGCCAGAAGACACTCTGGTTCGGTGAAATTAGGCCACAGGACACCGCGGACCGGTTGCAGCCGGTTGAGGAGAGAGAATAGCGGCGAAATGACATTCTTGCCCTGCCGCTTTCTTCTTCCTCTCTCCCTTCCTCTCTTTTTTTCTGTTTCCTAATCCGCGGCAAGCAGGTCGCCGCGCGTGCCCATGGTCGGGGAGGCTGCTGCTGGTGTGCTCGTGCTCCTCTAGCGCCGCCATGCCGGGCTCCCCCGTGCTCGCAGCCTCGCACGGAAAAAGGACGAGAGGTCGCGGCGGCGCGGCACACCCTCTCCACCGCCGGCTGCGCCCGTAGTTTTCGGCAGCGGCGTCATCCCGCGCGGCGAGCACGTCGCTGGGTGGTGCAAACGATGCGGCTGCGTGGCGAGCAGTCGAGCACGTACGCACGCACGGCCGGACAGTGTGGACGGACGCGGGCTTCGCGGCGAGCACGTGGCCGGGCGTCGCAGCGGCACGGCAAGCATGGGCGCATGCCCAAGCAGCAAGGATAGGAGCGGGCCTCGAGGCAAGCACGTGGCCGGGCACCTTGGCGTCCACCATCAAGAACGCCACCGCGGGTTCCTCTTCCTCCTTCCCACGGCGCGCACCGGTGGGATGCGAGATGGGCAGCCGGGGCGACGGACGACATTGCGGCGGGCGCGCGCCGAGCGAGGCGCGCGGCGATGGGCTTGCGCGAAACACGGCGGCAGGCGCGCGGGCGGCCACGACCACCGTGGCTCGGCGGCGCCTGTTTCATCCCGAAACCCCAGTCCAAATACACGTCCGGACACCGAAACCTCTCGCCGCCGCCACGCCCGCGAACGACATCGGTGTGTCGGCCCGCAGCCGCGGTGACCGGCGCGTGACGCCGAAAACTCTGGCGCGTGTCACGCAGCAGCGCGCCTTGAACGGCTCGGCGCTTCGCTCCATCGCCTCGTGGTGCGCCCAGCGGCGTCTTGTGATGGGTCATCGAGGACGGCCCGATCCTTAGTGCCGAGGCGCTTGCACCGCCGTCTTGAGGTTGGGCCGGGAGTGGTCGGAAGAATCCGGCTTCACGTCCTCGGTTCACATGCAATGCACGCGCATGGTGCGCTCGGCATTAAGCTCGGCGAGACACCGAAGCGAGAGGCACCGATTGCGGTGCTTGCCGCGGAGTAGGAAACAGAAAAAAAGAGAAAGGGAGCGAGGAAGAAGAAAGCGGCAGGGGCAAGAATGTCATTTCACCGCTGTTTCTCTCTTCAACCGGCTGTAACCGGTCCACGGTGTCCTGTGGCCTAATTTCACCGAACCAGAGTGTCTTCTGGCAAAATGCTCCAAAGTGGGTGTCCGCCGGCGAAGGACCATCACTTTGGATGTCCAACAGACAATTGTCCCTATAACCAAGGGTAGCAGAGATATGATGCAAAGAATTGTTTCAACGAGAAATTTGCAATTATACAATATGAGTGGGAAGACAATAGAACAGTGTACAAAAGCAGCTAAACATATAATCACATACAATTCATATACATCTAGATTGATAAGCAAAATCTCTTAGTTTCCACGAGTTTTGTAACCAAAGATTATAATCTAGACGCTTCAAAGGTATAAGTCATGAATGGCTTCGCACTTCTATATTTTAAACTAAACTTGACATTGGTTCATTTATAAATGCATTTGACTATAAAGTGCATGGAACAAGCATTAAAATCACCAATTGTTCTGCTCTGGATTATCAAAGAGAAAGCTGTCAATTTTCTTCAGGCTATACGATAGAAAATGAAGATCAGACAAAAATGTTGATCATGAACTGTATACGTATGGGCCCACAGACAAATTATGGTATGAGCTCCCAGTGATCTGGAGTTTGCAGGCTAAGGGTGTGTTTGGATACCTGAGAATCGGTACCAAACGAGATTTCCAGCCTACGAAGCAAGAGCCAGAATGATTCACGTTTTCCATGTTAGCACTCGAAACGGCTAGGACCTGGTTTCGCACGACTCCAGATTCTCAGCTCGCGTACTTCTGTGTGTTTGCCAAGAATGAAGTGCAACAAGTGAAAATGGGTTGTATTTAGTTCTAAATTTTTTTGAATCATATCTTCATTCATTTTGTTTGAATCAAAATTCAGCCTGCCAGACAAGCGGTCTCATGAGTCATGATGATGGTGCAGATGATGCGGCTAAGACTGAGGAGGGCACCCGCTTCGGTGGAGCAGACATCAAGGCCAGAGATTGAACAGACTCGTGCTTCACCCTGGATGACACTGACAATGGTGGCAGCAGCGACGAGTCTCGAGACTTCATCAGATCACTGAGCTTGAGGACCATCTCATAGATACGATCGATCCCTGCGGAGAGGCGATCGTACCCCGCAGAGACGGTGATGATATCACCCATGGAAGGCAGTAGTTATTGGCTGGTGGTAGTTGCAGGAATGGAGGAGCGGAAGCACGATATGAAAGAAATCTGGCACAGGACCAAGGATCAAGGTCTCTGATACCAAAGATGATGTGGTAAATTGATTGGGCACTTGATACAAAAACAGCAGATAGATCAGTTGCTGTGGAGTGTGTAGGCTCTGAGCTGCTTCATGGATCTATTTCTGCTTGCCTTCCCTAGCTACTAACGAATCTTATCCTGGTAACTAATGAATCTTATCTGCTAACAAACATGAACAAACGAAAAAACTGTCAACTAATCCTAGGCTGCTGATGCAGCACGTCCAGGGCCAGAACCAGCCCACTCGCCATAACACCACGACACTTTTGGGGAAGCATAGTCTTATGATATTTAGTATGCTAAGTTGAAACTCAAAGCTAAACAGAAGATATGCTAATCTATGCAACTAGATTCTGACAGCCTGCAAAACAACTGGTGATCTTGTGAAAGTCTTTACAAAGTTCATTTCTGTATAGATTTGTTTAGAAGAATGAACTCGAATTACAAAGTTGTCAAATAAAACATATACTATTCTTTTCAGTCAACGTAAGAATTATTAACATTCTTCTTGCTAAAATTAGGGCATGCTTTTTTTTAAACAACACATATAGCAACAGTAAATACAAATATTAAATTAAAATATTAAGAAACAGGCATCTGAGGATGTGAGGAACCATGGGTACAATATAACCAAAAATGAGTACCTCTGAATGTGCCTGAATATATGAAGAAAGACGTTGACCGGTATGGGAAATTACATCAACAAGCAACCCTGTGCAATCAATAAGTGCTCTTCTTTCCTTCAGAAGCTTCTCTGCCATTTCATTTGAACCTTTCTCCCATCTCAAGGTAAATGAAAGCCACAGTATACGCTTATTGATAACGTAAAACCCATCTTTTTTACTACTACCATTTATCTTGGAGGAACAACCCCTGCGAATCTGCTCCTGAGCAGCCAGTAGTAGAATCGCAGACTGGATAAGCTTTCCATTCTCAATGTAGTTCCAGAGCTCTTCAAGTAGATTATTTGTTTTTTCAGCAAGCAATCTAGTTGTATCCAAGAAGATCTTCTGTAAAACACCAAGGAACAAAAATCTAAGTGTCATTCAGCATTTATGTCATGCGGCACAAGAAACTCGTACAGGGAAGGGAAACAAACCATTTCAGGTAGACACAGTAGATGGATAAGCTTGTAGATATAATCCAAATGACTCTGGCTGGGAGAAAGATTGTCCTCCAGATACTTATGCATGCAAGTATTCTCAATTGCAACATGGAGTGGAAGTAGGTTCTCGATGACATCATTGCCAACAGTGTGCACATTGGCTGATGCGCCATGGCGTAAAAGCAAATTGATCGGTCACAAGAGAACCTTTCAGCAGCTTCATGGAGCGGGAAGTATCCATATGGGTTTATGCAGTTGGGATTGGCGTGCATTCCATAGAGCTCAGGTGCCTTGCCCTCCAATACAACTTTTGCACATCGCAGAGCATTATAACAGACCATGAGGTTTAAGGTGCGTGCGGTGACGGTTAAATTCCATGACATGCCCCTGTCTCCACAGTTCTTGAATAATCGGAGGAAGCACCGGACACTATCCTTTACAAGGATGGGCTTCAGCTCGTCAAATTTGTCAAAGAGGGTATCATTCACCCACTAGATGGATGCATCACAGTTCAAAAAGGTAAAGGCATCAGTTATCCAACTATAACAAAGCACATCAAGATAAAGTCTATGGAGGTGCATATATGACAATAAGAATAGCAGCAATGATAAAACCATGAAACCCAACATGCAACGAGAAGGGAAGAGAGAGAATACGAGAGGATCTAAAGCCTATCATGGTTCAGGCATGTGATTCATGTTCCTAGGCAAGGTTCATATATGACAACAACGTACAGTAGACTTTAACTGCCCTATAATATTACATGATTAAACGAAATAATTAATATAATGGAATGAACCATCAATCAACTTCTGTAATGAAGATAACAAACCTGGGGAGCAGGGTCTGGGATGATTATGTCATTTGGCCGGGACTTGGCGATAGAAATAGACCTTTCTAGCATGAACTGAAAGAGAATGCCAAGAGTCAGTGCTAAGGGAAGAAATATAAATATAAATAGGAGTGAAATATCACACGGATAGATAGTTATCATACCTCATCTATCTTATCCCTATCGTATCCTTCATTAACTTCAAAATAAGGGACAGGATGCCACGGATACCTATTTCTTATTGGAAGTGATCCATCTTTACCATTATCATTATCTTTGTTGAAGGAAGCTTCCTCTTTCAGGATAATGTAGCCAGGTGCCTTAAATTTCAATGCCATCCTTTCGTGTTTTCTGAAAAAAGTTTAATATGGAATTAAGATTCAAACACAATTGCTGCAAAAGCATGCCACAGTCGAACATCGATCCAGAAGACCATGAGGTAAATTGAGTTCTTATATGCCTAAAATCAGGGGGCGGACCCAGTCGTAAAGGACATGGGTGCACACATGTAGACCCAATGTTTTCTTTTTGCAAGAAAATCGAATTTAGTAGGCATAATACATACATGTATATACACTTGTAACTAGAACAGATTCGAATACAGATACCCAAACAGCTCGAGTTAGGGTTCGGAAGCGCAGTTTCGCACAAAAGGAAGGGAAGAGGGGGGGTGCGCACACCTGATTGGTGTTCGTCGCCGGCGAAGGGCCCGACGACGACCAGGCGAAGGAGCCGACGAGGCTAGCTAGACCGGGGCACCTGGCGTCGAGCGTCGGAGGTGGTCACCCAGTTGCGCCACGAGCGAGACGGGTGTGCCTCTGCCTCGGTGGCGTGGCAGTCTTCTCATTAAAAGCATTGAATGGATTGAAAAAATATGGTTTAAGAAACAGCTCCAAATTCTCTCGAAGCTGATTTTTAACTGGAAATAATTACTCTAATTTTCTAAAATAAACCCTATGTAGTGTGGAGTGAGGACCTGTTTAGAAGAGCTCTACCACCTCCAGACCTGTAAAAACGGATGTATTTTTTCTAGCCAAATTGTTATGGTCTGTTTGGTTGGGTGGCAACCTCAGACTAGGCTTCACGAGCCCAACTCAACCACCTACCACTCTTTGGCCTGGCTTAGTGGAAACACGGTCTCGTGGCCAGGCCTAGCTAGGCGCGACTCTCGGTTTCCGTCACCTCCCGTCCTCCAGGTTCCATGCGTCTTCCCTCCCTCCGGCGCCATGCTCGAGCCGCGCCGCTCCTCATCCCCGTGGCCGCCGGCGAAGCACAAGCAGATCCCCTTCGACATCGTCCTCCCCATCGTCCCCTTCGGTTCCAGCGGCCCCCGCCGCTGTTTGATATTATGGCTCATGAGTCTGGTATGACTGATAATGAGTGGAACATGTTCTTGGATTATTTGATTAAAAAAAGTCTATGTTATTGAGAACTGAAAATTATCAATATCAAAAATTCAAATATTGATGTATGATCATGGTATAATTGGCCCCCAAGATGACACTGAAGTGGATTTTTGCAAAGGGGAGTGCGACGCATCTTATGATGTAGAAAGTTATAGTTTGGCTTTTATCATCTGGCGAGGGGATGAAATAATCTATTCTGAAATTTTAAAACACATTAGATGTAAATCAGTAACAGAAGCGGAGTTCTATGCAGACTTTTGCTCTTCTATCCAAAGCCAAGGGATTGGGCATTCAGAAGTTGCTGTTGTGTTCTGACTGTGTGATAATATGTGATGTTCTCAGCGGTGAGCACTGCATTCAGTATGTGGAAGCCCCATCATCTGCAAAGGATCAGAGAGGGAAAGTCTCATCATCTGCAAAGGACTATGATCAGCCGGTCCTGTATTTTATGCTCCGGTCAATGAAAAGGCATTTTAGAAATCTGGTATCAATGTGGAAACCGAGAGAGTTGATGGTTTTTGCTAATGATTTAGCAAAAGCCAATGAGTCAAAAGTCTGTACAAAAAATAAAAAAGGGGTCAAATCATTTGAAGGGGCTTCCAGTGTTTCGAATTGAATGGACAGAGTACACAAATAATAAAATTGCATAGTTTGGTATGGTAGCTTTACCTCTTGTTTCCATTGAAAGATTATTGTCTCTTTGAAGTTTAATTTTTAACATTTTGTTTTATTGATGCAAGCAAAGTTCACTTTGATGAATCACATAAAATAAATACAGACTCAATATTTTATATTGAAGTTGAAGATCAACATAAATTTGATTGTCTTTCCGGTGTTATACAAGCATTTGGGCCAGTTAATCCGGTATTGTTTGTTAAGGACATTACTGGCAAGTTCAAAAATGATCCTGTTTTTTTCGAGCAGTTAGAAAAATTTGTTGACTTGGATTCTGAGAATCGATCTGGAATTTCTATTGGCTTTACATATTCTCGTTATGAAGCAGCTCATAAAAGTTTGGTGGTTGTTTTTTATACTACTATAGCAAAGGAACTTTATTATAAGAAGAAAAAAACTGCATTTCATATAGTATTTGTCACCGCCGTTTGCATAATATCATTGATCAAATGAATATTTCAGAACTTAGTGCTCTATCATTTGTATATTTTAAAGGAGGTTAGTAATTGCTTCAAACAATAATTCATATGAATCATTTGCATTAATGACGTTCTAATATGTCTATATGTTCGATGAATCATTTGTATTTATGATGTTCTAATGTCTCTGTATATTCTAATGTATAGTTCGATTTCCATTGAATGACACTACCAAAGAAAAATATTCTAACATACCTTTTTTTGTCCATACATTTTTTTCTTTGGTAGATTTCCATTTCAGAATGATCATGAGACTACCTCTGCAAATCATTTGTAACATACATTCATTTTTGAAGTTAATACTCAAATGCAAATTATAGCATTTTCTTTGGTGATAATGAGAACATCACACTAATAAAGTTCACAGCTATAGTAGCATAAAAAACAAACAAACATTTAAAACGTTCATCAAAATATATAAAGCCACAATTCATTGTTTTTTTCAAGAGTCAACAAACATAGAACTCCGCTCATATCAAATATTTCATTCACTAAATGACGATAAAACAAAAACATTCAATAAAATTTTTAGAATAGATTATTTCATCCCAACAAGAGGTAAAGCTACGCCAGATGATAAAAGCCAAACTATAACTTTTTCATTATCATAAGATGGCGCCACATCAACTCTCTCGGTTTCACATTGATACCTAAAATGTCTTTTTCATTGCAAAAATGATCATAGTCACTTTCCTCTCGGTGATCATCTTGGGGCCAATTATACCATGATAATACATCAATATTTGAATTTTTGATATTGATAATTTTCAGCCTCAATATAAAAGCCAAACTATAACTTTCGTTATCATAAGATGCGTCACACTCTCCTTTGCAAAAATCCACTTCGGTGTCATCTTGGGGCCAATTATACCATGATAATACATCAATATTTGAATTTTTGATATTGATAATTTTCAGTTCTCAATAACATAGACTTTTTTTAACCAAATAATCCAAGAACATGTTCCACTCATCATCAGTCATACCAGACTCATGAGCCATAATATCAAAAGCACTGAAATATCTTGGATTGTGATTAGGCTATCTGAAATGTTTATCGATGTAAAAACACTGTCGAGTGATGACTCAAATCTTTATCTTTAGGAACTATTGAACATCTTGAAACAAGCAATGGTCTCACAAACTCATTGTACCTTTTCTCAAACCCAAGAATCTTGCAAACCATATCACCTTTTTCAATAGATATCCTCTCACATAATTCTTTACTATCACCAATCTGGATTTCAAAAAGTTGATGAGAACAGTTATCCAGATTATGCTCAGTGACTGCATCATCAGGATTATTGGTTCCAGCAATGAATTTTGCAATAAAAAAGGCGACAAATAAATAACTAGAAATCCAGATAATCTTATTATGCATCCATAAAATAAAAAACGAGGTCACTGCATATATAAGCAGCTATTACTTATTATGCATCAAAAACAGGCCAAACAGTGTTCTTTGTTAGAACACACAATCTTACAAGTGCTTCTATGAAAAAGAAACTCTAAACTCAGAGAAAGAAATTGGCACAATCTTATACCCATCCATTCAAAAAGAAACATTACAGTAGCACTGTGCTTCTAGGAAGTGGTTATCACCTTTTCAATCATGAATTGCAAGGACAAAAAAGCAGGTCTAGGTTTGTAGGTGGATAGGCATTTCAGTACGTGTTGCTAGCTTGTCATGTCAGTACATATTTGCAATTTAATTTCATTGAGAAAGTAAATTGTTCTATTAAATCGACAGCAAGGAAGCTAGGCAGTGCTAGTACACAAGAGAATTAATTCAAGCACAACATGGCAATGGATAGGATGAAAATGTGCGATCTTCTAAGCTGAAAAAACACTGCTTAAATACTTCACTACATCGAATCAGCAGTCTATGTCAGCATAAGATAACTCAACTAAAGTAATCCTTGTCTAAAGCAAATCACAGCCTACTAAAGTAGCAATGTGAGCAACTAACCATCTAAACTCTAATGGACGAGCACCATTACAATTTAGAGATGAGTATTACTTATATTGTGGCTACTTGCACGCTTCTAGTTTCAATATGGCTGTTTGAGTACCATCTGGAATCAATGAAGAAAAGATTCCTTGCTGGCAAAATCAATCAAGGTCCAAACTAACTAGTAACTACGGATTTATACATACATAATTCAACCATGGCTGATCATGAACTTCCAAACCAATAATAAGATGGGACACCGATAACCATACAATCTCAAAGGCAAAAAGATGAATCAACCAGCAGAAGATTGTATGGGAAGGTTTAAGTTCTGGGGTTTGTCAGTAAAAACAAAGAGACTAGAGAAAAGTATACTTAGCATAATGGATCTAGAGAAAAGTTTGCCAATTTAGCTGCATTTATGGAAATGGATCTAGTAGGGCCACCCAAGTACCAAATATAAACTGCGGGACAGGAGCAGTAACTGCAACAAGGATGATAGATTGTCGAGTCCATAGCAAGATGTAACAGGAAAGGTTAAAATCATTATATAAAGGTACCTGAATGTGTCACGAATGGAATCCGACACTTTTTTGCACTGTCAGCCAACTGAGAAGGCATAGTCCGTGAAACACAAACCATTGGTACACCTGCAACAAGTAGCTCTTTTTAAGTTAAGTTTGGTAGAGAATTGTTAACAATGGGCAATAAAACCAGACAAATGTAGTCCATGAGATTGGACCAGCAAATGTGCAACAAAACAAATGATTGTAGTTTCAACTTACCTGCATTTGAAACTGATGGCGTCACATCCTTTCCAGGGACTGCGAATCTACCAATCACAGGATGCGAGTCCGGAGAAACCAAACAACCTGAAATGGGTAGGACAGTTACAATTGATGGCAAATATCCAGATACATCAACAACTGTTCACCGAACCAGACAAGACAATCACAACAAAATATATTGTTCACAAAAAACATCTACCAAACAACCTAAACTGGGTAGGACAGTTAGAATTGACAGCAAATATCCACATAACCCAACAAGTGTAGTACAGAAACAGACACCAGCATCATAACAAAATATATTATTAAAAAAGTGTTGTCCTGAATTACTACGTAATACTTCCATGGAGTGTATACATAGCATCAAAATAAGATTATTTAGTTTTATATCTAATAATTTGTGAAAAGGACAAGTGTTAGGGAAAACAATTTGAAAGAGGCACCATCAAAAGCTGATTGGATAAAATATTTCGAAGCTACCCCACCAGATCCAATAAAGAGAACATCCATCGCAAAACCTAGATAGGGTACATTATGATTTACCCGATCCAACAAAGAACACAACCCAAAACCTAAATAGGGTACGTTATGATTCAGAAAATGTGGTTTGTTGGACACGTGACTTTACCAAATGTTACACTCGGCTGGAAAAAAACAGGCTTTGAAACGAAGGGATAAGATACAGGGCAAGCACTAATTACCTGGAAATTCGGCAGTGGCCTGCTCCGTGTAGACAGGCCGAAGCCGGTGCCGGTGCCGGCGCCCCAAAGCCAGACGGATGCGAGGCATCCTGCTGGCTAACTTCGCACCGACCCACCGATCTCCAAACTCGAACTCTGGGAGGGTGGGTTGGAGTACGAGGGAAGAGGGTTGTTGCGGAGAGGGTAACCAGGCCGGACGAGGCTAAACCATATACAGAGCAAAAAAAAAACGACTAGAAGCAAAAGGCAGTATATATATTATTATGATATGGCAGTGGGTGAGTGTTACATTACAACATACGTATCTGGTAGCAGTATAATTACGCACAAGCTAATTTATTTAATTAAAAATATCAGTGTTTGCTTTGGCACAGGTGTGATTGAACATACATATCAGAGTTTGGAATAGCACACACAGGTAGCCCAGTTGACAAAATAATAAATTAGCATGGTAAGCAAAACAAACTAGGCATGTATAATAATACCAATGGATTTTACAAAAAAAAAACTCCCACTGGTCCAGAATTTGTAGCAGCATTTAGTATTGGCAAACTTGGAAGGTAATTAGTACAATGCTACTACAATAACTTTGGCCTGACAAAAAGAGATTGCTACAAAATCCACACGAATAATCACCACTTTTAAAGTTAGGATAAATAACACTACCTAAAACGTGAACTCACCTTGGTACAAGATTATACCTGATCCTTTGGTACAAGATTATTTCACTGAAAATAAACCTGATCCTTGGGTACAAGATTTATTTTTGGAAAACAAGAATCGTCATCAATAGATCTATAGCTACAAAATGACTGATTTTCATACTTTGAAATGTATATGTACATGTGTCGATTAAACTATGTACAGATCATATTTTTCAAAAAAACACCCGACGCATATACTTTATATTGTTGTGTCGGTCCAAATAGGTCACAGATCACACTTGGAATAACATCGGTCACGTATAAATCTATCATATACCGTCGTGTCGGTGTTTCGAATACGTCTAATTTAGATGGTGTGCTAAAAAGACATAAGGTTTATACTGATTCGGACAGAATGTCCCTACGTTCAGTTCGTGGCTGCTGCTCGTGTTATTAGCACAAAAAGGTTCGTAGTAGAGGTTACAAACAGGCGAGAGAGGGAAAGATCCCAAGTCTCTGATGGAAAGGTCGAATGGATGCTGAGAGCTTGGTTGTTGCTCAGCTCTGTGTGATGTAATGCGTGGTGTGTTCAATTGATCTCCCTCTTAATGGGGTTTCTTGCCTTCCCTTTTATAGACAAGGGGAAGCAAGGATTACAAATAGGAGAAAGAAGAACAATCAGAGGTCAGGGAGGTCCTTCAAAGATGTCGGGTCTTTCTTTTTTTTCTGAGCGAGCCCCGCTGACACGGCAGACGGTGCTAGGGCTAGCTCCATGCTGGGTGCATGCCCGCTGATGATGCCATGTTCAGGCTTTGTCAGCAAGTGGTCATGTCCCATCCCGCTCCGACGGACGACGCGACGGACCAGGGTGCTGAACCGCGACCCTATGGGGAGCAGACGGCACAGTGATCGCACGTCCGTTACTGCAGATAATGTGAGTTTCATCCTGGACAGTAGCGGTTGTCGTATGCTTCCGTCAGGATCCGCGCCCAAGGGCAAATGGCGGCGCACACAACACTATAAGACAAATGTCGGCGCCTACAATACTGTTTGAGCTCTGACATACCTAGAAGGGCTTAAAGCGCACGTCCTGTTATATCCTGACGGTACTTTCCTCCAAGCGTGCAGGGTATGATCCTCCGTATTGCGGTTGACTTGAGTGCCCTGCCTTATCCGTGTGCCTAGTTATGAAGGAGCAGTGCGCAGACGTCGGGCGAGGCGAAGCCACCCCCCGGACGTCGGACGAGGCGGAGCCAGCCTCCAAACATCGGGCGATGCGAAGTCTGCCCTCAGACGTCGGGCGAGGCGGAACCAGCCCTTAGGGGTCGGGCGAGACGGAATCTGCCCTCAGACATCGGGCGAGGCAGAGCCAGCCCTTGGGGGTCGGGCGAGATGGAGTCTGCCCTTAGACGTCAGGCGAGACGGAGCCTGCCCTCGGGGGTTGGGCGAGGTGGAGTCTGTTCTCAGACATCGGGCGAGACGGAGTCTGCCCTCAGACGTTGCGCGAGGCGGAGCTAGCCTCCAAACGTTGGGCGAGATGGAGTCTGCCCTCAGACGTCGAGCGAGGCGGAGCTAGACTTCGAACGTCGGGCGAGGCAGAGCCGGCCCTCGGGGGTTGAGCGAGACGGAGTCTGCCCTCAGACGTCGGGCGAGGCAGAGTCAGCCCTCGAGGGTTGGGCGAGGCGGAGTCTGCCCTCAGACATCGGGCAAAGGGGAGCCAGCCCTCCGGAGCCAGCTTTAGGTGGGGCCCATGGTCTCCGTCGACGGACGAGGTGTGACCCGGCAAGCGGTGTAGTCGCGCTCTCGATCGCGCGGATGAATCAATGTTGATGGTCATTAGCTCCTTCTCTTCGTGTACCCTACTATTGGTCCCCGACAGTAGCCCCGAGGCCCCTGTGTGATTCGAGTAGAATTGCCTGGGGGATTTTTCGATTTGTCGACGGTTGCGCGCGAGCGCACCCGGTGGGTGTAGCCCCCGAGCCTGCAGAGGAGTAGGATACTCCTTCGAAGGTTTTTCCGAACAAGAGAGTTTTGAGAGCCTCGGCCCTCTATCGTTGTCCACAGTGTGCCTTGAAGATGGCTATTTCGTCTTTGTCAAGGCCAGACCCTTTGCGGGTATGGTCGTGAGGTTTGATGGTTGTTTAGCTGGATAGCTCAATTGGGATCTCCTGGCATCCCATTCATGGGGATCCCGCCAGGGTCAGCCCGGCTGAGACTCAATCACGGGCCGAGACTCCTATGAAGCTCGCGCGCCTGAGTTTGGGCCGCTCGTGAGCCCATCCTTTGTCATAAGGGTGCCTTGGGACGGCCGTCGAAACCATTGGTGGGCTAGCCCTTGAACTTCTAGGCCCAAGCAGGCCGAAGGAACATTTTTTGACCTGTATCCCTTTTGCTGGTAAAGAGTCCAGGTCTACCCGGGGAGGCGAAACGTCCGGTGCGCCTTCGGAGGGAAAGAATAGAGATTACGGGCGCATATCCCACGACGTGACGTGGTGATGAATCATGGCAGGCGTAGAGATACAGGTGGATGGTTGCTTTCCTCACATCCGTCACCCCTATAAAACCAAAGGGTTCGCCCCTAGGGTTTCGTACTTTGCCTCCTTGCCTTTGCATCTGCAACCTCCACCGCCAATCGCCTAAGCCTCCCGCATCCGTGTTTTAGCCGTCGTTGAGTTCGCATCCACCACTCCAATCCTCCAATGGAGACATGGTGCCGCTTCGATATCACCCTCCAACGCCTGGAGGGCCTCGTTCACCATGGTCTCCTTTGCGCGCGTACCGCCATCGAGGAGTGGCAGCTGCCCGGCGATAAGGACGCACCGTCACCGCTCGATGGCTATATCATGTCCTTCGCTCACTTCCATGAGCGGGGATTCGCCCCCTCCCCATCCACAAGTTTCTTCGGGGATTGTTGCACTACTACAAGGTAGAGCTGCAGCATCTTAATCCCAACGGAATCCAGCACATTACGGCGTTCGTCACCCTGTGTGAGGGGTTCCCGAGGATTAGTCCCCACTTCGACCTATGGTGGTACTTCTTCGCCGTCACCCTCCTGAAGAAGCGGGAGAAGAAGCAGGAGCTGAACATGCCAATGGGATGTGCCAGCATTCAGCTTCGCAACAACCGCGTCAACGAGGATCTGTCGACCTCCAACAAGGGCTGGCATTCGCATTGGTTCTACGTCAAGAACGACACAGCCACCCCCTTGCTAGAGTTCACCGGGTGCCTCATCGAAGAGGTCCCAGAATCATGGAGGAGGTGGGGAGTCCCAGAGAAAAATAAGAAGAAAATCCAGGATCATCTCGCCGCCGCCCGAATTCTAAAGGAGAGGGGCGTGAAGGGGTCAGGGATCATCGGCGCCTACCACGCCCGGAGGGTGGTGCCGTTGATGAGGCGCGCGCTTCCCCTGCGCATGATGGCGCCCGAGACATCACTCGACGAGACGACGCTTGCCGAGGGAGCGCTCTCCCCCTCTGAAGTGGCGCAGTGCATCAAGGAGGCGATGGAGCCTCCATGGTACGACGCCGGCGCTGTCCTTGATTTTGTATCTCTGGTGCCGAGGCATCCCCCAATGCGGCCGGAACCGGGATACATTATTTTTGTAAGTTTCTTTCCTCATGCCTCCTTTTTAATTAAACTCCTGACCTCTTGACGCTGATATTGAGATAGGCGGACCAGCCGAAGAAACTCGTCCTTACGAATCTTCTGGCTCGGCTACCGAAGGACCTGGCCGTGATGGCGGCCAACCACGCCGCGACCGAGCGATAGGGGAAAGCAAAGGAGGACCAGAAGAGGAAGAAGCAACAGAAGTTGCGTGCGCAGAAGCGCAGGGAGGAAATCGACAGTGACGACGATGACGATGAGGAAGAAGAAGCTGAGGTAGTTGCCGACACCGAGTAGGATGACCTGGAGAGCGAGGATACGCTGATAGGTATCCACTCGTCCTTGCAGGGACCCTTCCCATTTCATTCGAGGGGAAGTGAGTCTGTGAGGTCGGCATAGACGGGCCAGACCATCGGCCCATCCTCAGGACCAGCTAGGGCGGGCGGATCTACCGCCACGCCCGAGGTGCCAGCGGAGGGGAGCGGCCTCGCCGTTGCGCCTCAAGAGCCAGCAGGGGCGGGCGGATTTGCCGCCGTCCTTGAGGTGCCGATGGAGGGGGATGGCTCCACCGCCGTGCCTCTAGATGCAAGGGCGGCCAACCCCTCTACCCGAGAGCAGGGGGTGGGCTCAAAATAGCCCTGCCCTGATGAGGTGGAGCAAGATCCTGGGGGTTCGTCCCCCAAACGTATCCTACGCCCGACGGTGCCGATGTAAGTCATTTGACTCCTCTGTTTTTCTCTGTTTTCAGCATGACTCACGCCTTTTATTTCTTGCAGCGACCTGAGACGGGGGCCACTCTTTGGCGATGGCGCCCAAGAAGAGTGTCGCCATTTAGGCGAGA